CTGCAACAAAACTTAGTCCAGTTCACTTATTTATAAGGCACAAGAATTTATTTATATAGCAATTCACTATTTATTTCACTCTACGATTTATTTGTTTGCCCGCGTATTTATCTGATTCACTTGACTATTCGACTCTCTCTGAGTCTCTGAGCGACGACAGGCGCGCTTATATAGGCAGTGGCGATGTTCAGGAAAACATCGAGTCGCGCCTCGAACGGCACGGATCTTTCTAGTTAAAGCCTTGGTTTCTTTGAACACTTCGTCGCGGTGAGCGGAGAGTCCTTCGACCGTCGCGTTTTGACGATTTTATCTAACCAGAGTATTTAAATGGGAACGGTTTTCTTGAATCCGCTTAGCTGAGCAGGACGGCGTCATGCCGCTGATTTGTCGCGAAGAGTCGGTTGATATCTGTTGAGTTTGATATCAGCGAAATCGTCGGCGTGTGCGGAGACTATATTGTTATTAATTTTAAAACAATGAGTGACAAATTCACACATACAGATGACATCACGACTTTATTTTTAGGTTTCTTGGAAATTATGCCCTTTATAAAACTCAACACGAATTCAAAAAGATCTGTAGAAAGTCTAAAATACTCCCTAAATTTGGTTTCATTTCCAAAAAGCCTCCGCTGCACAGTGATATTAAAGTCACCTTCTGTATCGCGACATAAAAACAACTCATCCACTGGCTTATTGGAAACTTTGACGGTTGCAATTGCCAGTTTCTCTTGTTCTTCCTCTTCCAACAATAATAACAACGCAAACAATTTATTTGCATCCATTTTAGAACCTTTCGTTTACATTCATAATACATAAACAGCACGTACAGACCTAGAGAAAGTATCATTTTCTATATTTTTTAACAAACCACCTCGGGCGAAAATTGCTGTCCTCAGCGCTCGACGGACTGTCCGCTCACCGCGACGGAGTGTTCAAAGAAACCAAGGCTTTAGTCGCCTTCGAGAATCAAGCCGCCGCGCCGCGCCGATAGACGGATAGACGTTTACCATCGGCGCTGTTGTCAGATTGCTTTATTTTTCGCGGGTCTCGCTACAATACGAATCTGATTCGTATTGTCTGCAAGAGCGGCACACCTCAAGTCGGCTTACGGCACACCAGTGTGCCGCGGCACACCGGTTGCGGAGCACTGCTCTATAGGCATAAAAAAGAAGCTATTTGGAATAAGTCTACGCATAGGCACATAATTTTGATTTGGTTTTATTTTTTCTGCCAGTTTTTTACCTACTTCTTTAAATCTGGTATTAAACTCGTTAGCTATATCAATTTTATTTGTTAATGTTTTATTCAAATTATTTTTGATGTTTTCTATAACTGGTTTACCTCTATTTGTATGACATGTTGTGCATTGCCTGAATTTGACTCTATTTCATTTTTATAATAGTTATACTTGGTTTTTTTAATTAAAACATTTAGTTTATTTCTAAAATTTTTGTATTCAATTCTCAAATCAATATTTTCTTGGTCATTGTGAATTTTTTTATACATATAATTTTTTTTAGTAATTGAGTTTAACAAGCCGTTAGTTAACCAAGGAGCTATCTTATTATTTTTTCTTGATTTGTATCAGGTTTCAGTACATTGTTGTATAGCTTCCATTGTTGTTACCATACACTTATTTGTTGCGGTAGTTGGATCTGCCATTTGATATATGAATTCCCATTTTAAATGTTGAAATTTAGTTTTTAGTTTTTTAACGTTAATAAAAGTTACAAATTTATCGTTATTTTGTTTATATGTTTTATTTGAGGTATAGTTGTATAGTGATCGGTAATGTTAGTTTTAAGAATACTTGGTAAAATATGTTCATCTAAATTGTGTCTTGCACGTAAGAATATATGGTCTATACAGCTTTTGCTGTTACCATGCACTCTTTTAGGTTCATTTATTGTAGAGATGTAGCCGTTTTCATTTAGAATGTTTAAATAGTCCGAAGTAATTATATTATTGGTTTTCAAAAGGTCTATGTTAATGTCTTCTATCAAGATACTATTAGGCATTCCAACGACCTGTCCAAATGGCTACCAGTGGGTAATGACAGTTTAGATATGGCAACCCTGTTATCATGTTGTCATTAACAGGGTCAATGATACATATATAGTTATATAGATTGCTCAAAGCTGGTCGTTTACAAGCGGCCATATTGTCTGGTAAATATTTATTAATTTGAATCGGTTTAGCAAAAATGTGTTTTAAAACCAATTTTTAGCCTTTAGGTATTTAAAAAAATAATTGCTTATATTTTTACTTTAAGGCATAAGCTTATGTTTATTTTGAAAAATATGGATGATCAATCTATGTAACTATCTATTTCATTGATCTTGTCAAATCACCAGGCCTACAAGGTTGCCATAAGTTTGCCATATCATAACCCGTCAAAACCCACTGGTAGCCATTCAGTTTGGAATGCCTAATAAATAGGATATATGTTTATTTAGGCATGGCATTTTTTAACTGCTTTTATACCTTCAAATAAACAAAAATACTCATCTACGAAATGCAAGAACATACTCGATTTTTAGAATAGAAATCCACCGTTTTCGCATGTCGACCCTCTTATAATTGCCCATTTTATTTTTAATGAGTACTTTACGATTACCCTTTTTCGGAAAATGATGAAATAAACTTAATTAACCACTCCGTTTTGATTTGAAAGTACAACCTTTATTACAGCAATATAGAGACAATAATTTATTGGAAGCTTATGATTACATATTCGTAGACACAAATTTCGCTACTAAAAAAATGCCTTTCCACTTCAAGGGCTGAAAATCCGTTGACGTAGCGGAATTCCGCTACTGTTGGCAACCCTGAAAAAAGTCCTACTTATAGACACCATTTACTAATTTCCTCCAGAGGGCGTATCTCTTAGCTTGAATCGCGGATTCTATAGGATAGGCTAACAAAAATTTAAAAAGAAATTTGTTAAATATTATCATTTCTTTTTGAAACCAATCCAAAAATAATTATTTATGCAAAGTTACTATTTTTTGACGAGTATGCGAGTGCGAAAATCCCAAGAGTCAAAACAGGGACTTAACAAACAAGTTGCATACAATATTTTTTCTACTACCGTACCACTAATATTAGAAATATAAAAGTTACTTTTTTTCATTAAAATAACTTTTTTTCACTTTACGCACTAGAGAAAAAAGTACAACTTTATGCACTCCGTGATATGCGTAAAGTATGTACTTTACGCACTGTAGTAGAAAAAGTATATTTTGATAAAATAGCTGTGTGTGTAGTGTAGGGCGATTTGAGACACGCAAGTTTAGGAATCTAATAAAAAATAAATTTACTATGAAATAATGTGGCTAACAATTATGTTTAAGGGATAACAATTAACTTTACGTAGGATTAAAACATTTCTAAACATTAAAAACCAGTTTGCTCTTCATATCTTCACTAAAGCAGTCTTAATCGTCCGAATTCTCTGCAAAAACAATGATAACCTTCATTTTATAAGCTTTGCCCAGGTGTTTTGAATTGTTTTTTCTACATTTTTCATACACTTAGCCCTAACGGAGGCCTTCCGTCTCTTAGACTTATAGAACATCATTCCACATGTTAACTTCGTTGTTCCCCCGTTCTTCTCCAATTATCGCAGTATTGTTTACATCAGGGGTTCCCAAACTTTTTCAGTTCGCGGCTCCCTTACAGGTTTAGTATTTTGTCTAGGCGCACTAGGTTTGCCAGTTTTACGATATTTACGAAACAGAAAAAAGCAGGTCTTTCTGGCGGTGAGCTTCTAAAAAAAAGTTTTCTTTAGTTTATATGACCCACGTAAGCAGCAGGTTTTTAATTGTTTATTTTGTAGCCGCGAAGCGAATACCTAAGTTTAGTGTTTGAGTTTCCTCACAGCTCCCCTATTTACTCTATACGGCTCCCCAGGGAGCCGCGGCGCACACTTTGGGAACCACTGGTTTACATATTCTCCACTAACTCAAACGGATTGTGCTGACAATGATATGAGGCAGTAGTAATACCCGTTTCTCATATTCGTACAGTATTTCGTCTATTACGTATCTAGTATTTAGTGGCTTATTCTTGCGACAAAGATTCAACAGCTCTATTTTGAAAGGGTCTCTACCAAAACGTATTCTTCTACTTAGTAAGCATTCTTGTAACTTCCACAAAGCTTGCAGCAATTTTTCTATCAAAGCGATCAGCTTTGGTTCCTCCGGCATTGATATTCGTTATCCATAGAATCATGATAACCTTGTAATAAGCTGTCTCCACTCTTCTATTTTATGAAACATAGTAATCCTTTTCTATAATCCCACATCGTCAACAAACGCATCGCATGTATTACGTTTATTGTCAGTAGTGACAAATTTAGGTGCCCCATTTTCACATGCAAGGCTCGAAGAGGGTTGAAAAGTACAAAAGTACATTGATATTTAGTAGAAAGAAAGGAAATTTACGAGTGGCTATTGGGGATAACAGAAATATTTTCAGACCCCAAAATGCACTTATCCATTCGGGTCAATGTTTTTCGGACTAGTGACATGTAAGTTTTCATATATTCGGTGGGATTGCGTGGAAAAAATCAGTCTCATTTTTTACTTACAAGATTTATACCCTTATTTCAAACCTTTAGCCACTTGCAACATTAAAGCCTTCGGTTTCTCTAAGCCCAATTATAATACTTAATCACTTAGTGAACACGGCTTGCGTAAAAATATGGACAAAAAATAACTTAGATTAAGAAAAATGGAATTTTCCATATGTTATGGGCATAACCAGGAGCCACTAGTAAATTTCCTTTTATTCTGCTCAAAATCGATGTACTTTTCAACCCTATTCGTGGCTTTTATGCGAAAATAGTAGAATGCATTTCTATATGTCTATATGTCGCATATTATTGCAGATGCAAGCTCAAATCGGTGAAATGGACTATATTGAAACATTTTTTTTTTTACAAAAATGGATGTTTTTATGTTACTTAATCCATGTTATTTTTTTTTTTTTTTTCAGTTGTTCAGTTATTCAGGGGCGGAACCTGTCAACCACTTTAAGGACCAGACTAATCTCATTTTTAGAAGATACCTACTGAAGAATTATTTGACTGATTTAAATATATTTATTTTATTTAACGACAAATAATGTATATCTGCGTAGCATGTTTTAAATAATTAAAAATGTGTACTACTGCCAGTGATAATGTTGTAAGTTTATTTTTATAAACATTCGTGTTATATGATGAGTAATTAAGTCATAAATATAAGAATTTTATTCGAGTTTTGGTTTTTAATTCAACACCCAGGTTCGTCGAGAGGGGGGGAGGTAGCCGAGACAAATTCCCGGAGCCCAGCAGCTGTAGATGACGACGTTTTTTCTTAGAGAATTCACTAAAGAGGAAAAGTTTTTGCTTGAATACCTTCTTTTTTTTAGAAATGTGACATTGAAAGAGCGAGGCCCGACCTGGAAAATTGTCCCGGGGCCCGATATGGCTCTCGGCGGCCCTGTCAACACCTCCAATATTGAAGATACCTTCAAACCAGAGAAAACTTTAAACACAATTTGTCGTTTTAGAACTTGAATCACAATTTGGTATATTGGGCGTTTAGGGTGAAAAACGATTTAATATCACATCACATATTTTTCTTAGATTAATTTACATTTTCTGTACAGCTAAATGAAACCCCTACCCCGGGCTAAATTTTGTTAGCAACATCTACTACCCCCGAGGGGGGAAATAACTCTTCTGTAATTGGCTTATTTAATCAGCGTTGCCAAGTTTGACAGCGAGAGTGCTGACACATGTCAATTTTTGATTTGTATTTTACGATGATATGATAAAAAGAAATAAATGTTTCCAAAATTTAGAAATTCAACAAGTGACCACCTGAATAACTTTTTATGCTAATGAAGATTTTTATTACATACCTCAGGAGAGGAAAATATTAAAGAAAAATGTATAATCAATCCTGTCACTACTTCCTCACCATATTCATCTGCTACTAAAATACTAAAAGAATGTTTAAGGAAAAAGACAAAGCCACGATTTTGTTGACAATTTTTTTAAAACTGTAATTAAATCGACTGATTTTGTGTATTGTTTAAATTTTCATATTATGTACTTAATTAATTTTAGATTTAAACGAAATGATCCTCAAAGACATGCTGATGATATGAAGTATCCCAAAAAAGCAAAAAGGTTACAAAATTCTTAAGAAAACTATTCAGAGCCAAAAATAGTTAGTCTTCTTGTCCGAAATATAAAGATATAGGTATAAATATTTGGATATTATGAGTGATTTTTTATTCTATAAATAGAACGTAATTTGCTTCTAAATCACTAATAAACTATATTATGTAGTAAAAAAGTAAACAAGAATATCACATTAATCATGTATTTTTTATTTATTAAAAAACGTCCCAAAAAACAATGAATGTTCATTATTGAAGTTTATATCGCTATGCTAAAACAATACTAGAACAACTTGAACAATGTGGTTTTGACTATTTTGAGTTATGATCTAAAAAATGTCTTTTTCCGTTTGATGTAAGATTCATTATTATACATTTTTGTTAGTGAAACAGGATATTTTAAGATTGTCTACCGTTTTCTCTAATTATCTAAAAAGTATAGAACATTACAAAGACTGTTTTAACAAAAAAGAGATATACCTTTAATTAAACACACAATTAGTCAATTCAATTATACGATAACTTAAAGCAAAATCCAGAAAACTTCTAGAAATGAGTTTTTACTAGAACAAGAACATTTTACAAAATAATTATTAAAGAAAAGTGGGCACCTAATAACACTGACGATAGGTTTTTATAATATATATTATACAAATCACAACGAACTACACAAAATGACATTATTAATAATTTAAGCAATAAAAAAGTTAAATTTAATAATGACATTAAAAGTTGATTTTCTCGAAATTACTTTTTTAAATTGTCCCAGTCTACCTACTGTTTTAGCACAATGATAATATATAAATATGCACTGTGTGATATCTTATATTTTAGGAATAAAATAATATTTTTTGCAGGTTTCTGTTAACAACCAAGAACATTAGAAAATATTATTAAAATGCCTTCACAAATATAATTCTCAATCAATAGCTTTTGATCTAACATTCAATTTTTATTCCCCAAAAGGTTAAAGCTACGTAAGAAGAAAGTTTAACAAGACTTACCTCTTATCAGACCCAAAATATCAAAATGTTATCAACCAATTGATGGTTCTCCTGCTTTCCATAGAGTGAAATTTTTCTCGAAAGTACTAAAAGAAAAGTGGCAGAGGCAACCGAAGAATGCAAAAAAGTCTTTGGCCAAACAAAAACAAGAAATTTGTTTAAGAACCTAATTATTGTTTGATGATTTACCATTAATTATGTTTGATAACGTTTTAAGAGCATGAAGTTCTATATATATTTTCTTCTTTGATAACCTATGTTTAAATTTTTATTGGGACCAAAAATAAATTATAATTTTCACTATAACTACAGAAACCCTCATAATATTAAAAATTGCGAAAACGTCAGATTAGTTATGTTCAGGGATCATCAACTCTTTAAACATGTATCTACTTAAAATGTGGTACTTTTAGAAGGTATGTTATTAACTTTCTATTTGTACATGTATTAATTTATTTCATTTTATTTCTGTTTGTTGTATTTTCAAATTGATTTTGATATTAATCTTATCTATTTCTATTTTTTTTATATTCACATATATGTTTTTTCATTGAACTAAACGTTTATTAGCTTATTAAATATAATGAATTCATGTTGTTTTATTATATGCTTGCATGAATGATTACTTTTATTTCGTTTTGATAATGAATTTCGAAGATAAAGCCGAAACGATGAGTGAGAATAAAAAATTAGACGTAAATGACAATATTTACTGGAGCTTTCATCTACACTTTCCTTTTTCTAGCTTATCTAACCTGAGACAGCAAGATTCATCTTCCCTCCATCCTTACATTCTCAAGATTTACAGAGAATACGCCGAATCCGGGCCTTCTTTGATACATTATCAGCCTTATTTGTTATCCCGAGCAATTTAAATGCATTCGTAATTGCTCATTCTAATCTCCTGTAGATTCCGTACCCATTTTTCTTATTTTCAGTTTAGTTTGCACCGCTCTTATATTTTTCCTTTTCCGCAGCTTTAATTCTACAATACTGTAATGCTACAATATGGATCCATTTTAGTGATTTATACTATTTAATTTTAATCGTAAGTGACCAACCTATTCTTATATTGTTCCTATTAAAATAATTAAGGATAAATAAAAGTCTAGATACAGGGTGTTTTCCAAAAGTACTGAAGTGTTCTGTAATAAAACCTCTGTACAAAAGTGGCAGTAAACTTGATATTGGTAATTATAGACCAGTATCTCTTCTGTCGAATTTTTCAAAAATTTTGGAAAAAATAATGAAAAAGAGACTATGCAGTTTTTTAAATAAGTTTAAAATTCTATCGAATAATCAATATGGCTTTAGAGAGGGAAAATCGACCGATGATGCTATCTATAAATTAACTTCAACTATATATGATGCATTAGATAAAAAAACACCTATACTTAGTATCTTTCTCGACCTCTCAAAAGCCTTTGACACTGTATGTCATAAAAAATTGTTGGAAAAATTAGAAAAATATGGGATTCGTGGGAAAGCATTCGATATCTTTGAAAGTTACCTATCAAATAGAGAACAGTTAGTACAAATTAACAATGTTAATAGTAACAAACAGATCGTAACCTGTGGTGTCCCACAAGGTACTGTTTTAGGACCTGTTCTTTTCACACTCTACATTAATAGCCTACTACACTTAGACACATCCGCTAAAATAATAAGTTTCGCTGATGATACTGCCGTTCTATACTCTTCATCTTCATGGAGGAACCTAAAAGAAAAAGTAGAAACTGATTTCCCTAAAATATCAAAATGGCTTCAGTTTAATAAATTAACATTAAATTATGAGAAAACTAGATACTTACCATTTTCCTCTTATGCGACAGGCCTTCCTATGTTGGGTCCATTAAGTGTGGGATTAAATAACGAAGTTTGTGAATCTTCATCAATAAAATATTTAGGGATTATTGTGGATAGGCATATGAAATGGGACCTTCACTTAAAACAACTAATAAAAAAGTTAAGATGTTTTCTACCAAAATTTAGATATCTATGTGACTTTCTAAACTTACATTGCTTAAGGTCTCTTTATTTTTCTTTAATACAATCCTTATTAGTATACGGTATCATTGGTTGGGGAGGTGTGTATGATAATACTTTGAAAAATGTTAATGTAATACAAAAATGGATTTTAAGAATAATTTACAAAAAAAATATTTTATACCCCAGTAATGCACTTTACGAAGATTCCAATATCTACGATATCAGACAACTATGTTTTCTACAGATATTATTATTTTTAAAGAAATCTAAGATTATATTAATATCTCATGACCATCCCTACAATACACGTCGACCTGATGCTATTTTATTTCCGCGATCTGAAAAAAGTATTGGCCAAAGATGTAGTGATTATCTGGCTCCTAGAATTTTTGTTTTGATACCTCAAGAAATAAAGGACATTTCTTTGTACAGCAGATACAAAAATAAACTAAAAATCTGGCTCCAAAAAGAGCGTAAATTAGCAAGTGATGCTATAAATCAGATTTAAAAATTTTAAAATTTAAAAATATGTATATGTATCTTTCTCTCCATAAAAACTGTCACGATAATAAGATTGGTCTATTTCTTTATGTTTTTATTTATATTATCTTTCTATTTTTAATATTTTAATTATTATTTGTAATCTAATTTGTATTTGCATTTTATATTTTTTTAGGTTTGTTCTAATTTTAAAAAATTATTTAAATTATGTTGTTGGGTTTTATAGGGACATATATGCTTTGTATTTATTGTATATGTGCCTTATCACATACAAGCAGTTTTAAACTGCTTCTGTGATTGCCCCCTATTGTTTATTCAATTTTTTTTTAACTGTATATGTATCAATGTATTATCTGAATAAACATTATTATTATTATTATTATTATTATTATTATTATTATTATTATTATTATTATTATTATTATTATTATTATTATTATTATTATTATTATTATTATTATTATTATTATTATTATTATTATTATTATTATTGTATTACAGGCCTGAAGATGTCCCAGTGAGGCCGAAACTAGTCTCCTGTATTTATTTATAATAAAAACTGATGTATTGGTTTTGAGGTTTTATTTTTTAAATAAAAAAATTAGACCTTCACAGAAATTTTGTTTTATTTCCTGCATCAGACACATATAAGACGGTATACATTTTAAAAATAGTAAAATGAGCAAATTTTTTGGTTTTTTTAACAATTAAAAATTTTTGGACAATGTGTATTCTTACAGAGAAATGATACGACACTGAACAAGAGGGGAATTTACCTTCCCCCTTGTGCCCGCTTCCTCACTTCCTCTACAGATGTTGCGAACACAACATTTGCCTACAAACTCGTTTCACGCCCACATTTCACGCCCCTCTAGTAGTAATTGCTCGGAGCCCGAAACTTTTGTAACTTTCTTCTTTTAAAAGACGCAAATATGTAGGTAGTTTTGGAGAAATTATTCTAATATATCCAGCAAGAACTATTTTATAGGGTGTCCGGAAATACCGTTCAAAAATTTTTTTACTCTGTCCTCTATTTTCACTCCATGTTCATATATTGTGGTCCTCTTTGTATGATAGATCGCAGGACATGAAAAATTGTAAGGTAAATGACCTAAGCGAAATAAATAAGGTTATGAAAAACTCAATTCCTGTTATTGAGCAAGAATAACGCTGAAAAGTCTATCGGACACTATTCAAAAAGGAAACAATTCGACTGGGGCCTCAATCTTTACTTCGAGATAAACCCCAACATTTAATCTGTGGTAATGATAATGCAAAAATGAAAAAATAACAGAGCAAAAAAACAAAACTTACCTAAACAGCTACAACAACAACTAGACGGTATCTCCTAAAAATAAGATAAAATAGATAACAATCAAGATTCATCCATTACCAATACTTTCCAGCACATATTGGAAAGGCTAAAAGCTGAACATACTATGAATGAATCACTAGATAAGAATATAGTGCCAAAGGAGCTATACTTAAGAGAATATAATGAGTAATAATCTAATAATAATAGAATGGAAGCCAATTGACTTCTGCAAAACCAACAAAAATTGCAAGCTGTCTTAGATATCGAAAATTTGAACACATGCCTAATATCAGAGGCTCATTTTACCGGGTCCTTTATTAAATATAAAGGATATAAGCAGGTTTACCATACCATTCACCTTCAAAATGCTTATAGAGGAGGTAGCGCAGTAATATAGAGAAGCAATTAGGCATCATCAAGAAGAGGAATACAGGACTGAAGAATTTCAGGCTACATCAGTAATGATAAAATCTACATATTTAGAGAGTTATTGCAATTTCACTTAAGGTCAGCCACTATTAGTGTCGCTCTTATTTTGACATATAAGAATGCGCAGATCGTTTTTAATAGACTTCTTTGTTATACGAAGTATTTCAGCAAACTACATCCAAGTTGATGAAACATGGTACATGAATTCAGATCGTTCTCGCATTCTTCTCACTCTTGGTGACACCATTATCTAAAAGGAGCACTCTCTTGGACTAGTAAACAGGAGAATAGACTGGCAAAGTTTCAGACTGGACCATGAAAACTAAATCAACCTTAACAGAAGAACAGCTAGATGAAATAAGGGACAAAACCTCTGCAAAAAGAAAACAACTTAGAAGGAAATGGCATCAGACCAAAGCTCCATCAGATAAATCAGATAAAACCTAATAAAGCCACTCGTAGTTAAACAAAAGTTAAAACGAATTAAAAATGAGTCTATTAGTGAATGCCTTAGCCAGTTGACAAAAGATAAACCCACTGAGTGTTCCCTATAAAAAACCACAACGATTAAAAATGTCCACTGTCAATCGGGAATGCAGATGAAATATACTCATGAAAAGGCTGAAACCCATCATTGAAGAAACGGAACTTATTCCAGATTAACAGTTCCGCTTTAGAGAAAACCAGACTATCTTTTAAAAATTGTTGTGTGCACCCCGGTCCATGATCTTTTTAGGCTTCACCAGAAGTCGCTTGGCCTCGGCCGCTAATTTCTGATTCGGCCAACAAAACATCGACTTTACGGCCTTGGTATACAAATAACTATTGTGACCCTTTTACGCATCCGTAGTGTTAAAATTAAAACTATTCTATTTATGCAAAAACCCGACTATACATAATACATGTATATGTATAAAATTTTATATACATACCTATGTGATGAGTCACTTAATTTTTCTACTAAAAATGATACCGGATAAATCCGTTAAAAGCAAGGTATAAAATACCTGTCTTAATAAAAAAATCATCTTATTTTCTCGAACAAGTTTCTAAGGTACCTTGAATCAAAAGTGTATTTGTAGTGTAGGTACTTATTGTGAGTGAATGTAATGCAGAACTCAGATAGAATAGATCGTCCAGGATCAAGTACGGTCAACTAAGAACAATCATATGACTTGTCGATCGTTTTAAAAGTGTGACTTTAACAGCGTCGATCGTTTTGATCCGTCCAAAACAAAAATGGTTCTCTACTTTAAAATTTTAATTATTTCTTGTGGTGTGAATTCACAGTTGGTGCTTCAATTAAATATTTGCTAATTAATATTAAATGAAAAGACATTTATATTAAAAAATATATCATTTTTGTGATATTTATTATATATAGTTATTCAAAATAGATGATAATAATAATATAAATATTAACCTTGGACCATTTTTTAACATATAGGTATCTATTTTATAACCTATTTAAATTCTTTTTAACCTAACTTTTGATCCACCAAATTTCAAAAAAAACTCGGAAATTAAAACTGCTTGGTCGAGGACGGTTGATGACGGTGGCGCTTGTCGGCTTAGTGTGAGGTTTGCCCAAATATATAAAAGGTTTGCCACAAGCTTCCGGATGTTTGAAATTTTGGCAGAGGGCTATCGACGTGATCAAGCTGTCTGAGTTCTGCCCTGGTTTCGCCTAAAGGTTAATTTAAATAATGGTTAAAACGCACGGACCAAAAATGATTTGGATATGTAAGTTATTTTTTTTTAACTATAATAGGTACCTAGATTAAGTTGTTTGTTAGGAAGTGATTTGAGTTAATAAAAAAACAATTTATAATTATGTAGATTACATTTTGGTTAATGACGGTAAGCAATAGACAACGGTAATGGTAATGATAATGACAGCCTGCCGATTTTATATTAAACATTATTTTATTATAATGTCTTCTATTAACCATCGAACGATAATGCCTATGTTTACGTGTAAGTATTTAAATCTTATTTAAATATAATTATTTGGTAATTTTTATATACTTTCAAATTTTGAGTAATTCAACATTCTTTATAATATACTCTACTGGAAATCCTTTGTTGAAGTTCAGAAATAAAACTAATTGAGAATATAAGTGTTCAATCAACTGCATCACATAATTATTTAAGAAAACCCATCCTAAAGGTACCCGTTTTTTCTGAATATTCTTCTGTACCCATACAGCACAAACACATTTAGGAAATATATCAAAAATGTTATATTAAAACATGTGTAATGTATAAATATTACGAAACATCCCACAAACATTTCTGAAATGTGCCTAAAACGTAAAAATATAATATTTCTGAAATGAAAATTTAAAATCTTTTAGAAATATTAAATAGTAATATTTCAGAAATGTATTCTAGTTGTAAATGAAGAACATTGCAAAAAATGCATTGATCATTTTCGAAAGTAAATATAGCAATGGAAAACTTAATAGTCCCTATAATAATAAACCTCAGAAAAGACAATGATATCAGTAGTTGTAGTGAAGACAGTGACCTTTAAAGATAGTACATGAACTGTTAATAATTATTTTAATCTTTGATTTTATAGGTACTGAAGTGTAACTTTTAATGCCAATATTTGTTATTTATTGGTTAAATTTAATTAGTGCAACAAGTTTTTTCATTCAAAATTTAATATACGAAATGCGTATATATATACCATTTTATATGCTGTGACCTTATTTATATTATAAAAGCGTATTTTGTAAAGTACGCCTATGGAATGTGACGTTATATCCCCACTTTTACTAAACTCTTCTTTAATGCTTAATCGGATATTAAACATGACATAATTTTACATTTAATTTTTTGATTTTATCTATTTAGTTTTTTGATTTTGCTATTGTTGGAGTACCATTGATACACTTAATAAATAAATAATTTTCTCCCTTCTGCTTCCTTTGTTCCAGTTCATCACGTATCTTTTTTGAGTACTCCTGTTGAGCTTTTGTGTTATCTGTAGCAATGACAAGATTGATATTGAAATTTTTTAAATTCTTTTTAATCTTTAAAACAACATAAACTTCTTCTTTAAAGTGAAGAGTTACTTTAAGAGGTACAGGACGATTTTGCGTAGATTTTCCAAGTCTCATAACATTTAAGTCATTGACAATAATATTGGGCACAACCTTTTGAAGGATCTCCTTAGCTTTGACACGATTAACAGCATTTTCTTGAAATTTGTAAATAATTATGTTCGTTTATCTCTTTTTTTCGTTCATTTATTTCATTATTACTTCTTCAAATAATAAGACTAAGAGATATGGCCACGAAAACAAATATTTTAGATTATGAAACTTTATTTTATTAGACTAGTAAGTAAAATGCCTATCTGGAGGTCCTTTCGTTACACCTCTCGCCTGAAATGTTAAAAAAAAGTTATTAGATTATGACTAAAATTAATTTTTTTCTAATAGTTGAAGTCATTATTTATCTTTTTTTTTTTTTTATTTATTTATTTATTAACATTTTTTTTTAATATACATTTATATACAATTACTTTACAATTAGTTAGCGTCTCATAAAATGGCTACCACTCTAGGCATGGTTGCCTGTCCTGTGTGAAGCAATTTTATGAGGCGCTCTGTTTACAGTATTTAAGGGTGTGTAGTGTTTTACATCTATTTTTCATGTATAAAGACATTTTGAATTGTGATTTTTTCAGAGAGGTAATGGGGGTGAGAATCAGTTATTAATTTATGGTTACATTATCTTAAATACATTTTAACATCTAATACTGAACTTTTAACTATACCTTACCTTGCAAATTTTTGAGAATTTTTTTTTAAAATGTGAGTATTTGTACAGTGCCTCACGAGAAAGAAAGTCCTCAACAACAATTCTCGAATTATACTATTATTTATTGATTAGACGGAGTAGAAAAAAACTAAAAATAGGGTTTTTGAAATATTTAGATTTTGTTTTATACAATAAAATATATATAGTAAACCGTGGAACTTATTGAGAAATTAATATTAAAAAATCACAAAAAATTTTCAAGTAACCTAGTTAAAAATTTTTTGTGATTTTTTGATAATAATTTCTCAATAAATTCCATGGTAACCTATATATTTTATTGTAAAAAACAAAACCTAAATATTTCAAAAACCTTATTTTTAGTTTTTTTCTACTCCATCTAATCAATAAATAATAGTAAAATTAATTATAATTCGAAAATTGTTGTTGAAGTCTTACTTTCTCATAAGACACTGTACAAACACACACATTTTTAAAAAAAAATTTTCTCAAAAATTTGCACGGTAAGGTATAGTTAAAAGTTCACTATTAGATAAATAAGGACATCTACTATTAGAAAAAAATTAATTTTAGTCATAATCTAATATTTTTTATTTAACATTGGTGGCGAAAGGACCTCCTTAACTTAAAAATCCCCAATTTCAGTTAAATTTGAACTATAATTATTTTACGAGATCTATCTACATATTACAAATATCTAATAATAAACATTATTGAAGGAAATGTTTTCGAGGTAATAGTTTTCGTAAAATACCTACACTAGGAAAATTTTCATAAGCACAAGTAATTATCTGAAGCCGGATATAAGATGTAGGTATGTAAACTAATTTGAAAAGTAGGTTAATCGAATTCAACGTGAGAAGAGGTCGATAAAAACATTACAGTATAGTTTAAAAATATAGTTTATTCGCAATTATTATAAGCAAGCCACATACTTTGATTTTCTTTTACTATACGGAGAATGGTCGCACTGCGCAGCTTTCTGAGTGCCTTTTAAAAGGAGATAGAAAACTCCGCCATTTTGAACCCTTATTACGTGTTGCCTACATCTTGGCACAATATTTTAAATAGGTGCGTTTTAATCATCTGCTTCTGCTTCGGAATTGTCGGTTTTCTTGTTTTAATCTGACAGGTTAAAACGACTAAACCGATAATTCCGGAAGCAGAAGCGGATGATTAAAACACACCTGATATTTTGCTTGCTGCTGTCAGTGAATATTATTTTTGGAGTCACAATTTATTGCTAAAGAATCAGTTAGCTCACTCGGACCAGTTGAAAGTTCCAAAATAACATCCACTCCAGGGATACAAATTGAGGATACGCAGAAGACTGCTGTTTTATTATAGGCGGTTGTCATATATTGTATTATCCGAGTTGCGCAGTGTATAAACTGGAACATTGAGATCAAAAGTGCCGACGCAGAGTGAGCGATCTGATTCTTTAGCTATAAACTGTGTCATAGGAATCAAAATGGCCGCGCCCTATGTTGGGCGTGTCGGACCTCTCTTCTGCGCATCCTGAATTTAAATCCCTGGAGTGGATGTTATTTTGGAAATTTAAATTGGTCCGAGTGAGTTAACTGATTCTTTAGCAATAAAACTTTGACTCCAAAAATAATATTCACTAACACTGACAGCAACAAGCAAAATATTAAAAATATTGCGCCAAGATGTAGGCAACACGTAATAAGGCATCAAAATGGCGGAGTTTTCTATCTGCTTTTAAAAGGCACTCAGAGAGCTGCGCAGTGCGACCATTCTCCGTATAGTAAGAGAAAATCAAAGTATGTGTTTTATCACGTGACCAATAAAGTCTAGAGCGTTTGTTTATTACATCTACATTTAGATCTAATTCTCTATCACGTGATAAAAAATTCGCATCTCAGATGCATCCGATGTGGATATTCAAACGCGACATACTCGTATGTTTTCTCAGAATTTATTTGAAATTATTTCTAAATTACCATCGTAAAATTATAATTCACGTATTCCTAAATATATGAAGAAAAACTCGCAGTGAATGATTGATTGGTCTATTAATAGTAGTAATAATTAAATTGCTAATAGAAAATGATGTTAATGAAGCTATTTAATTTTTAAATGTGTAATTATTATGTTATTTAAATAAGGTTTTGTGGTTGCTACTGGCTCCAAGAAAAACCCATAAAACAAATGATAGCAAATAAATAATCTTAATGATTTCGTAATTTCCTCTAGACAGAACCGTATCCAAATAATTAAAAAAAATCTTGAAGGAAAACTAATTATTAAACAAACATTTATACAGGGTGATCAACTTATACTCCGAAGTTTCATATCTCCGTTGTTTTGAAGGATACAAACAAAATTTTTAAATACAAATTATAGATAGAGTCCAGCTCCACATTTTAAAATTATTTCGTAATATACAGGGTGTTTCATAAAGTCACAGCATACCAAAGTTATGTTTTTTAGTGGAACACCTTATATGTTATCTCGAATTTAAATTTTGCTCATTTTCCATATTTACCCCATTCTACAGGGTACTTTTAAAGAAGTGGGCACTTTTATGTGAAAATCTTAATGAAATCGTCACCCTGTATTATTTAGAATCAACAATTGACGTTTAATATTTCAAGGCCAGAATAATTTCGTAGTAGTCTAGTTTTGTTGCATCTCATCATGTTTTTGATCTTTTATTTTGTATACAGGGTAACCCAAAACTCACGACCATGATTTTCTCGGTTAGAACCTGATAAAACCCTATATTGCCGGAATGGGGAAAATCAGTAAAATTCAAATTCGAGATAACATATAGGGTGTTGCACTAAAAAACATAACTTTGGTATTCTGCGACTTTATGAAATAATTTTAAAAAGTGGAGCTGGACTATATCTATAATATAAGAAAGAGATAACTATCATAAATGTCACTATTAGAAAAAGATAACGATCAACTGTCTAGTGTTATGGTATCACAGATTCTTTAGTGACCAATAGAAATAGGCGCTTCATTATGACGCGGTAAATGGCGCAAAAATGGAGTATTTTAAATAATTTATTTAAAAGTGAACTTTTTAAAGTACTATAACTTTATTATTTATTATCTATTTAAAGTATTTATTGCATGAAAAAAAAAGTTTTTTGAGCTTAAACAGTTAATAGCATTAGATTCGTTATAAATTCGTTTACACTAAACACGCCCGAATCCTGTTTTGCGTAGATCTTCTTTCACTTCCTTCAGCCATGCTGATCTGGGTCTTCCAAGTCTCCTTCTCCTCTCACAAACATTTAGTTAATTTTTATCATTCATTTTATAGCTTATTTTTATTTTTCAGTAGTTCTATTTGTTTTAAGCGAATTTACTGGGGTATTTTCGATACAAACCGGTTGGAAAAATCTCAAACAATATAAGGGCTTGTATAGAACGTCTGTAAAGAGTGACTTTTGGTATCCAGGACCACCGAAAGAAGAATTTGAAGATCAAAACGAGGAATTAAAAAATACTTTTGAACAAGATGCAAGCAATCGAAATATAGACAGAAGAAACATTTTGCATTTAAAACATCAAGAACCATTTGGAAACAATTTTAATCGAAATCCAGACAGAAGAAACATTTTGCATTTAAAACATCCAGGACCATTTGGAAGCAATTTTAATCGGCCTGATGTAGATGGTTTCTCGAATAAAGACAGAGGTATGTAACATGGCGATCCAGTGAAGTAGTAATTTTGTCATAAAATGTATGTGTGGGCTTTTATATAAATACTATTGCTATTGTTTATCATGAATAATTACTTTGCATAAAGTTCATATTTGTTTTCCAGTTTTCAAGAAACAAAGGTGGCCTTCCAGTGGTTCACAAGTACCTGATTCCAAAATAATTAATAATTTCAATCCTTATGATTACATGGTCGATAGGCCTGTAACCCAAAGTCCCGGAACGACTGCTGTGGTAATTCCTGGAATGGCAACCACGTTTTCACCTTGTGAACAGAGCTGTCCAAGTACCATGCAGTTCGATGCTGTATGTGGTGACAATGGTGTCACTTACTCTAACTTGGCTAGATTTAGATGTGCTGTAGCCTGTGGAAAAAGTAAGTAGGGTACCTACGCAATATTATAAAGGAAGTATATAATATATAAAACCACATCAAATTGAGAACGAGTCTGAACGCCGTTTGACCCGAACTAGCACATCAAACTTCTGTCTAGGAATATCGATAGTCACTGTCATTGATGGTCTAGTAGAAGGGGCACTTGTCTAGCAAAACCACATAAAATTGACATGAAATTATCAAGGGTGAGAATTTGTTGAGAACATTTTGTTGTTTCTTTGGAAATTTGAATAATTTGTAAGGAAACAAAATGTTCTAAAAAAATTCTTATCTCAAGTGGTATTTTATAAATATTTATTTCCGTAAGATAACTTGAAAGTAATGTCGATTTTTGTCCATTTCTCGTCACTTTTTTGACGAACTTCAATGTTTCACGAGATTAAGAGAATTCAGTCTTTTCAGATACAGTTTGCTTTGACTGATGTGTGTTGAAATAAAAGAAGATTGTCATTGCTTGATGTATTCTAGTGTTAAATAATCATTATTTGTAACGCTTTAGATGATATTTTATCAAAAAGCGAACTCAACATATTTTAACTGAAGTTTTAGAGATGAGAAAGCGCGATTGCTTACTCCAGATCAAAATCTCATTCGCATGAACATCTTGGAATAGTGTTTGACACTGTTTAAGCCCTCCCTATCTGAATTTTTACGCAGATTTGTTACTGCCGATAATAAGTGGATCCAGGGGCGGCTTGTGACCAAAATTTTGGGGGTTCACAGTAGCAAAATATAGATGTCAGTACAGATATAGGTAAAAAACTGCTAGTGTTTTAGAAAGGTATATTGTAAACTTTCTAAAACACCGAAAGTTTTTTTCATATATCTGTACCTACTGATATCTATATTATGTCACTGTGAACCCCCAAAATTTTGGTCACGAGCCGTCACTGCGTGGGTCACTGTATGCCGGATACAAAAGATCAAAACAGTAGACCGCGAGGGACGAACCGATTCTGAAGAAACCACTGGTAGTAAAGGTTATGGCAACAATTTTTTGAGATGCCATAGGCATTATTTTTAAATAGTATCTCGAAAAACAAAAAAAAATCAAAGTATTACACATCTTCGAACCAAAATATTCACGAGAAACGTCCAATAAGAAAATTATATTTTATCAGAAGAATGCCAATGCCAAAAATCGCTAATTGTCATAGCACACACATTCATCGGTTAGGCTTCAAGCTGGTTTCTCATGCACCTTATTAACCAACTTTGGTTCCATCGATTTTTATTTGATTCCGAATTTCAAACTCTTCTCGGATTTAGACTTGATTACGCCACAAATGCCTATTTTAAAGAACTGGACAAATCAGCCTACAACGATGGCATAATAAAGGGCTCTTGAGCACCGATCTAGTAGACTGTATAAAAATAAAAATAGTTTCTAACCCCTATTTTGCTTATAGTGGAAACTTCATCCTATCGTATGTTCGAATTCCTATTTTATTGGTACTAGTTTGTACTACAATAATTATTAAAATGTGAGTCACAATGAGCAATTTGATGTAGCGAGTAACGCCGGGTTACATATTTGACGATTATTAAATAGAAACTGGATTACTTCTTTATAAAAAAAAAAAAAAAAAAAAAACACCTACCTACCTATTGTGTATTAACAAAAATTTCTTTTTTTAGGAGTCAGAATTCTTCACCTTGGGGTCTGTTCAAATAGTTAAGTAGGTATACTAAAGACTGAAGTGAAACTGTCAAACGTACTAAAACGTATTACTAGTTAAATTGTGTATATAATAAATTATTTAAGTACCTTTTTTTAAATAAATTTGACTCTCTACTATCCACTCGTTTATTTTTAGGACCTTTTATTTAAAACAAATTTATGTAGTGAATCTAATATGAGCAAATATCAATTAGTTCGTTGAGATACAAAGCATTATTTTAATATTATTTTTAATGTGTATTTAATATATATTTGTGACTATGTCAAACAAATTATAATTATAATCCAAATCTTTCAATGTTAGCCAAAATTACTATAAACTTTAAAAAGTTTGCGACAGTTTACGCAGGTCAGGTAAGGTAATTTTTGCGTGCAATTTTAAATTGCAAGCAATTACTTTGAAAAAACTTTTCGGTATACTTTTATTCGCTCAGTGCGAAGTCATGGAAGGAGAAGCAAAAGCGACACTAGCACTAGTTGCGGATAATTCGTGCATTTTAGGACGATATTTTGTAATTTGAGCATATCAACCACTAACTACACGCATACATTTGTATTTTGTTCAAAAAAATAGGTAAAAACAATAGAATAAGCAACCAGAGTTGCTGTGTTGTAAATTGTAAAAATACTATCAAAAAACAGTCTAAATTATAAAAAATTTCAGTAGCAAAGTGGAAATTAAATCAAAGAAATAAATAGATAGCTATACAATAAGAAGAAAAATTACCTTTATTTTTGTAATAGTAACAGCAATAGTGGAAATAGCAGTAGACATCAGAAACTTGAAAGGTTTTAAAAAAATAAATTATTATTTTAACATGTTCTTCAATATCCCTTTAATCTTAAATGTTCGGCAAGAACTAGATTTCTTTCTTTGATTATTGTATATGACTGCGGAATGCAATTTTATGACTTACTGATAGGAAACCAGTTTTATTCATTCTAACAAAAATGAAAATATAGGTTAATTTTTTAACGACAACTTATTAGACTTAGGCAACTTCTCATACATTTTCCCGTAAATACTGTTGCCTGTCTATATTTTATTTTTATTGATTATACTTAGTTTTTTTTTTAATTTAAGCCATAAAAATATTTAAAAATAATAAATTAATGTTTCATTTGTTTTGCAAATCCATATACATTTATTAAAATTAAAATAATATATACTTTTTAATTACGAATTCTATTGTCAGTATAGGCAAAAATATAGTACATTAAATGAAGTGGCGCTGCTGTCACGCACGGACCGAATAATACATACATATATTAGCGAGTCAGACAAAAACGAACCATTCTGTCATTGATTTTAACAAACAAATTTGAGTAAAGCCATCAGTGACATCGTAGAGCGCTTAGGTCACACCATACACACTCTTACCCATACCCGGAGATACGCATGCCCGTAGTTTGTACACTAGCATGCCAACTACTTCAATGTGCAAGCTACATGCTTGTGTATCTATTAACTTGCACACAAGTAGATTGAACTAGATTTGATTTTTTGGCTTGCAATGTGCAAGTTGAGTGTGGTGGGGGAATACAAACGGCATGCCAAATTGAATGTGTGAACACAGACGACAGATACTAAGCATGCCCAGTGTTGTTCCTGGTTGGTTGTACAATCAGTTATGTGGTTGTACTGTTGTACACATTTGTGAAGAAAAGGCGGAAATGTACAATTTAAAGTTGATAAATATTTATGTAAAATCTGGTATATAAAAGGCTTTGTCCTGCTTAAAAACTCTACAATTCGTTATATTTTATGTAGTAAAGTTAATAAAAAAATTAAATTTAAATTTGGCGCCATTCACGACCAATCAAATCATTTTGAAACTGGTTGGACTCTTAATCTTTAAAAAAAAAAGAAAAATTTTATGCTTTGGGAAGTGGTAAGCCGTGGGCTGGTAGTGAAAAAGAAGAAGATTAATTAGTGGCTGTTGTACAATCAAATGCAAAAGTGTACAATTTTGACATTGAACAACAATGAGCATGCCAGTACTTGCGTGCAACTTGTAATCGTCATCACGACTAACTGCATTCTTTTTTTCGTTGTGTTGATGTCTCATCATCATGTCTCGGTGGGGAGATGAAGATTATTATTATACATGTTCAAAATCGAAATATTTCTGCCTTTGATTCTGATTATTGTCTGTACCTATCTGGAATGCAATTTTGTGACTTATTGAAAAACTGTTATTTAATAAGTAATTCTATGTTCGAACTAAAAATGAAGAAAACGAGTATAAATTACATTCGAAAATATTAAATATTACAATTTTTGTTTGGAATAAATTTTGAATACGCGTTTGACATTAACCTTAAACTTCATTAGGCAACTTTTCGTACTTTCGCGTAAATAATGTTGCCTAACTACCTGATCTGTGCACATGTTTTAATAATTTTTATATTAAATAAACTTATTTTTCTTTAGCTGAAGTAATAAAAATAAATAAATCTTTTCACTTGTTTTATAAATTAATACTTTTATCAAAAGCAAAAAAATAAATTTTTCAATTAGAAATTCTATTAAAAATGATACTGTCAATACACGAAAAATCTTCCTTTAGTACATATTTTAGTTAGCGCTGCCGTCACGCACGGAGCGAATAGAACGATTTGCACACATGACTAGAGATATTAATTGGTAAGCTTATGAGAGTAAGAGGTAAAAAGTATTTGGGGAATTTATTATATACTTTTGTTTCTCGCTTAAACCGTTTTTTTGTCACAGTGTCTAGGTACACGCTAACTTGTACGCAATTCTAAAATTTACATACACGCGAAACGTCATGACAAAGTAGGTGAGCTGTGTGCAGGCTATTCGTGTTTATGCCGATCGTAGCGAGGTATGGATTTAATTTTTTTGTGGCGGCGAAGCCGCCACCTTACGAGAAGTCGTTGCTTTGTTTTCTTGTTGTCACAGCATTATTATTATTTGTTCATGTATGTGAAATTTGCTTCTAAGGTTTATAAAATACTACTGTGCTAGTCACGGCGTAAATGAAAACAAACAAGACGCATTCACACAAACACCTCCAACCACCGCAATATAATGTTTCGCGTGTATATAATTTTTTGATTTGCGTACACTTTAGCGTGTACCCAGCAACAGGTGTGGTGGAAGTACATTAAAAAATTTCGGACCGAAATAAAAAAAGGATCGTTGAATTACTGCTTTTTTTTAAAGAGAGGGACACAGAGTTCCATATTAGTAGCGGCTCGTGTTTTACATGTATTTTTATATTATTTTTCAGTAGTTATGTATTCTTATTAAACCCTGAAGACTAATTTCATTACAATCAGTACCAGTTACTAGTAAGACTGTATCATCGGCATAACAAATGAAATGTCCAATGAAGTTATTTAATTGAGTGATATTATTTACGTACAATATGAAAAGTATTGGACCTAGGACTGTTCCTTGAGGAATTAATTACTTTGTCGGAGTCATAAGTAGCTGCAAATTCAGCTTTAGATCCTAAATATTTAATACCAACGATTTTCATGTGGTCTACTGCTGGATTTTGTTACTTACATAGCCGACTCCTTATAGCAAAGTTATATGCGAGGTTAAATGTATTAACTTAAATAACAATAATGTATATTAAGTATCGACTTTAATCTGAACCATGGTGTTCGTGGTGGCGTTCATTTTTAAGTACCTGTGGCTCCAACCACATTAATGAATTTAACATCACTTCATTATTTAATTCTTTTGTTACTATCTAAGCCAGCCATACTCAACCTTTTTTTCATTCGGGCCACATTCGTATATGTGCTATGTTACACGGGCCGCAATATTTTTATATAATGACCTTTTTTTAGGCCATCTATCTAAAATTAGTTAGTGAGGACCTCTAATAAATAAAACACAAAACATAAATATATACCGTTGTGTTACTGCAAAAACAAGATAACTCACATTTTTTAAACACTATAAAAAACGTCACTTAGCTTATTTTAGCTCTACATACAAATCATAATTCAATGTATGTGTCACTATCTTTAGTCGAAGTTTTAGTAACATTATTGGATACAGGTAAATGTGATAATAATGATGAAATTTCTGTGAAATCACCTAAATTACATTAAAACATTTTGTGTTTTCCCAAATACGGGTACGTTTTGACCTTATTAATTTCCCCTCTGTTCTGGCATTTATCTTGTTTTGGCAGGAACCCTATTAAGAATCGGACTAAATATATTTAGCAAAAATAAGTTATATATATGCCTATTATCTGGTTTTGGTAGACACACTTATAATGATTGTTTTGGTATAAATGCCACTCCATTTTGTTTGTCCATATTATTAATGTATTAACCAAGCGCAGATACAAGGGGGGGGGGGGGTAATAGGGTAATTACTCCCCCCCCTTCCCATGAGCTGCTCGAACAAATCCAGGAATTTACTAAATTGTAATCTAAAAACAACGAGATTTTACGAGAAAGCAAAAAAAGACAAGATGACTGTGACGAATAGAGAAGCACAGGCTGGCGTACAATATTTTTTTTAAATAAACGAATTAAAATTATCTACCCCCCCCCCCCCCTCACTCCCGAAAAATCTTCCCAGATCCGCGCCTGGCATTAACATAGAGTTAAGTTTTTATTGGCTATCTGTTTATAATGTATATAGACTTCTTTCACACTTGTAGAAAGTGTACCTACTTAACTCGAAATTTCTAAAAGTGGAGCTATCTTGTTTTTGCAGTAACTCCACAAAATTCCAAACGTTAATTTAAAAATTAGCATGCTATTTAGCGCTGCGACCAATAATAGTGTTGCGGGCCACAAAAAAGCTTGGAGGGCCGCAGGTTGAGTATGGCTGATCTAAGTCTTTACTACCTTACTTATATAGCTATTTATTAATACCTCATCTGGTACATTTCTTCATAACTATTATATTACTTAATTTAATGTTACTGTGTCACCTAGTTAAACAACTTGTTCACCACTTTTCATTAACATTGTCATGTGCTATCAGTACATTATCTACCTTATCATGTATATTATCTCTTACAGGCCTGATGATGGTCATTATCCGAAACTAGTCGCTTATCGCATCATTTTTAATAAAAT